CCTTAGCCTCCCAAGCCTGGGATTACTGGCTTGTGCCACTTGTCCTACTTTTTGTAGTAAATAATATTTTGATTGAATGGTACAAATATCACCGCAAAAAAAAAAAATCTTAATAATCAGAACTCGACTCTCTTTGTATGGTTTTCATTTAACAACAGTTGGCCTAACTCCAAATTCCGAAGGCACACTCTCTCTCTCCTCATTCCTTCCCTCTGGAACAGTGTCTTTGCTCAGCTTGTAGCAAAAGATGCTAATTTGATCACATGGATTCCTTTTAATGCAAAGAGTGAATTGTTTTTAGACCACTGGTGATTAATGTGGGTATTGATTAGCTGATCAATAAGGCCACAGTATCTAATTATTGATAATCCCTCTCCAAATGAAAGATCGAGTGTAAGGAGTCCTAGTTACAGAGTTCAAAATATAAAGTGATTCAATGTGATGCCCAGTAATTGAAAGTCAAACTAATCCCATAAATTAAATCACAACAATCCATAACATTTACCTGATAAATCCTCTGGCAGCTGTGTTTAACTTTCACCGTTCTGGATTGTTAACCCCCTGCAAAACCCTCTGACTGTCTGAACATGCACACCACTTGTTGAGAGAGATAAAAATCATCCCAACTCTAAAGTGAGTCTTCTTCATAGTAAGGGACCCAATAATGGCACTCTCCATGGGTACACATGTAGGATGATGGCCTGGTGTCTCCATCGCATCTCAGAGCCAAGAATAAAGAAAACTCAGCGTGAATGCTGGAGAGGAGGGAGGCCCCCTGACATCAGACTCACGACCCGGAAGGAACCTGAGATCACAACATCACCCTCTCAGTCACCCACAGAGTGAAAGACCTGCCAATTGTCACACAGCCAGCCAGAGGGCAGGGCAGGACTGAGGATCCAGGTCTGTGGCAACCACTGTCCCTTCCCAATATACACAGCAGTAAGTATGATTTTGTGGTGGGGTCAAAGGTTTACTCCATGGTCAACTGTTAAGATGTGCAACCAACATAGAGCTTCTGCTCTGTTCTGAGGCAGACCCTAGCTTGCATTTCCACTGACCATGAGGCAGAAGACCTTGCTAATGAAAGAGCACTGGTGTCTCTCCATTCACATGTGGCTGTTTCCTCCGGGCACATTTCTCCCTTTGGGAAATTTCTTCTTCATCTCTGCTCCTCTTTAAAATGGCATCTGAGTCTGTGAGGGGCTTGGGCAGCTTCACAGCAATGAGAGAGAGAACCTCAGGTTCATATGGATTTGGGGCTGTTCAGAGGAATTCACTACAATCTGCCAGGGTGCGTCCAGTCTGACCCTCGGGGCTCTGCAATGCTCACTACCAAGAAACAGCTGTTCCTATCTAGGATTCCTTTTCTTCTTCTTCTTCTTTTGTGTGTGTGTGTGTGTGTGTGTGTGTGTGTGTCCACATTTTTTTATTTTGACACATTTTGTCCAAGGAAAGTAACCTACATAATACATATCAGTTAGCACGATAATGAACTCTCATGATCCCCTCATCAACATGAGAAATGGATGGTACTCAGTGCTGTCAAAGGCCTCGTCAGTCCCTCCTCAAGCTGGAATGTTGGTCACCCTGCCCATCTGCTGTGTGATGTGCTTTTCTCACTTTACCCCCAGGATGAATCTCTTCTTATCTCCAGGAATTCTCAAGCCAAGGCCCAAGCTGGTGAGAACAGTACCTAAGGAACCCAGATTTCAGTTCATATTGCTTTTTCTCCTCCTCTCAAAGATTGCCTTCCTCCCACAGTGGCTGGCGAGCCTTCCAGGGCCCCCTCCTCCTGGTGAGAACTACTCCTCCATCAATTCCATCCACTCTACACCAGGCCCCAACAGTGCAACTCCATAGTACACCAGATCAACAAAACATGGCTGTTTATATGTAAAGAAGAGCTTTATGACATTCAGAAAATCTTTCTCTTCTATAAGAAACCCTAACTTGTTTGGACTTCCATTTCTAACTAAAACATTGTAGCTTGCATCAATGTAAACGTTGCACCAAAAACACCTAGGAAAACATTATGAAATTTTAGTTTTGCTTTTTTTTCTGTAAGCAGCTTTTTGAAGCTATCAGAGAGCAACCAATGCACCTGGGACTTGAGAAGCCCAATTCTCAGAGAACAGAGAATATCTTGGAGGTGAGCATGACATGAGGCTTTTACTAATTTGTAAGAGGTTTCCACAAGAGACAGAAAGTGGCAGCTCAGAACTTATGTCAATAATCAGTGATGGGCCACGAGAGAATCCTCCAGGAAAAGAATTAATCTTGACCCTCTACCTTGCACCATGTGCAGAGATCAACTTTAGATAGATTCTAGACATAAATGGGAAAAATCAAACTACAGAGCACCTAGAAGGTGGCAGGAGGTGTCTGCACGACCTTGAGGTGGGCCAGGACTGCTAGCAAAACACAATTTTAAAGGAAAGGATTGATAAATAAGACCACTTTGAAATTAAGAATTTCTTTTCATGAAAAGACACTGTAAAGGAAAAGTCAATAGTGGAAGGAGATAATTACAAGGCACATACACCCTAACGTATAAAGAACTCTTACAAATCAAGAAGAAAAAAATGATGAGTCAATTTCAATGGACAAAACAAACCGAAAATCGGTATTTTTCAAAAAGGGAATACATAAATAGCCAAAAGGTGTCTGAATCAATGGCCAACACCATCGGCCTCCAGGGAAGCACTAGTTAAAACCACAGCAGGGCATCACAGTACTGTCCTTGCAGCACAAGAGGGCAGGTCATAGGTCACAGTTGTGGGTATTAGCAGCTTGAGTTTTTGTGCACTGTGACCTACTCATAAAATGAAGTACTATATGTGGACATGGTGCTGCCCCAGAAAACAAGGAAGTCTCAACAACCTGATTTGCAGGGAAGGACTCCAAGTCCAAGTCCCATCTCCAGGATGTTTGAGGTTCAAAGACCTGCATGAAGCTGGGCTGAGCTAACTCTGTGGTTGAGCGAGGCCTGGGGATGCAGAGCTCTGGGCACCACTTGATCTTTACCTGGATCTGCAGGTGGGGCCATGCTGCGCACCCAGGGAACAAACTTACACTTGGACTTGAGTGACTCTTTGTCAGGATGTAACGTTCGTTTCAAAAGTTTACTTTTTTCTGTAGAGCCGATCTTCGGAGACAATTAACTCAACGCAGATCAGAAGTCCTATTTTAGAATTCAAATGCACATTCTCCCGTGTCTTTTCATTCTGGTTTAACAGTCCTGGCTTCCCTGAAGCACCGTGCCCCTGGCGGGCTAGGAGAATCGTGTAGGAGCCAGTACAAAAAAGGAAAAGAACATTAATACCCTTCAAAAATATTATCCCTGTGACACTCCTCGTAAAGCCCAGAATCAAAGGAACAGAAACAGGGTTAAATTAAAACTGTGATGTGTTCTTCAAGACAATGGTGGAAACGTCATTGAGAGGACGTGCTTCCTGGTGGTCAGTCTCTGGAAGCACTTCCCCGGTGGGTAGTCTCTCCTACCTGACCCCAGGGTTCTTTCCAGGAGGTCCACCTAAAAGAATAGGGTAGGGATTTGTCTGCAGGCTTATCCTTGCAATTTTATTTAAAATATAAAAAAATGTGGAAAATGTGTCCAACAATACAGATATTATAATACATCCAATAGACAATTGTAGAAAAATATACAGTGAGGAAAAATGATGCTCATATTTTATTTTTGACTTTTTAATTCATAAATAATAATTGCATATATTAATGGGTGCATGTGATGTCTTGATATAACATCTTGATATGACATTGTGGAGTGGTTATAATAAGCTAATTAACATACACATTGCCTCATATGCATATCATTTTTTTGTAGTGAGAACCCTTAAAATCTATTTTTTTAAGCAATCTTAAAACGTACAATACATTGTATTAACTATGGTCACCTTCTTGTGCAACAGAGCTCAAAGCCTTCTTTATACTAACTGAACCTCATGGTCTGCTCTCCATTGCACACCTCCACATCTTCAGTGGCTGCTAATCACCCCTGCTCTCATCTTCTCAACTTCTAATCTTTCAGATCCATGTGTAAATGAAATATTGTTCTACTTGTCTCTCTGTGACTGGCTTAATCTGCTTAGCACAACCTCCAGATTCTTTGGGGTTGTTACGATCAGAATTTCCTCCTTTTTAAGACCAAATAATATTCCATGATATATATATGTATAGATATATCCCACCTTCTCTCTATCCATTGGTTGGTTGATGGAAATGTAAGTTGATTCCGTATGTTGGCTGTTGTGTATAATCCTGTGATTTTCATACTTCTTGTAGATAGAAAAAAAGTAAGCCATTAAATGCAAGTAGACATCATCGTGTTCCATTGTGTCAATATGCATTGAGGAAAAGTCTAGAAGAGCACATTTCAAAGAAGAACTGCCTCTAGATGGTGAAATCATCTGCTCATTGATTAATATTTGCTCTATGCACGGGGCCCAATGTTAGGAGCAGGTGTACAAAGATAGACAGGTCATCTGCCATCAAGGAGATTAAATCCTGAAAGAAGCCACAAAACACCACCCATCTTATTCCACTAGAAGCCTCCTATCAGAGGGCCCTACACCATGGCAAACGCAGGAGATGGGCAAGGCCTTCCCAGGCAGACAAGGAAGGTTTTAAATCTGTACCCTTTCAGCTACAGTTGAAGGACATTTCCTATGATCATTCACTCAGCAAAAGTGAGAAAGCACTTGTCCCATCTTCAGTTAATCAGAATTTAAATTGTTGAGTCATTTCTAAGAACCAAGAGGGTTGGAGTTTGGGTTTCTTCTGCATGCTAAGCAAACTGCAAATATAAAAAAAAATACAGCAACTCAGGGCTGGGGTTGTGGCTCAGCAGTAGAACACTCACGTAGCACATTCGAGGCCCTGAGTTTGATCCTCAGCATAATATAAAAATAAATAAATAAATAAAGGTAGTGTGTCCAACTACAACTAAAAAATAAATATTAAAAAAAAGTCAACTCAGAGCATAATTAAAAGGAGAAAATTGGGCACAAGTTTCATGTTGGTGGTTCCATTCATTCTTGAACGGGTCCTCCATGGAGCAGACAACCCAAAATCATAACCTAGTGGTTAGAGGCAGACATTGGAACCAGACTTGCGGAGTCTGGATCCTAGTTCTATCATTTCTGAGTTCTGTGACCTAGGGAAAGTCATTTCCTATCTCTGAGCCTCAGTTCCCCCCTCCAAAACAATGGAGGTGATATAGTAAATATACTGCTATGAGGAGCAAATGTGATGTCACAAGATTCTTGTGACAGGGCAAAAAGTCCTCAAAAATTACATATTATCATTGCACTCTCACTAGAAAACAACTCTTTTCTTTAAAAGCAATCTAAAATTTGAAAATTGAACACTTAACTATTTGGCTAACTTGTTTAATCTAGATAACCAATTGATTATTAAAACATTTTTCTTCACAAAAACATTTTTCTTTTAAAATCCATGCCCTTTTCTCCACCTTCCCTTGTCCCAGGAGTGTTGGTTTCCGGTGTCCTGGGCTGCTCGGCATCCACCTGAGCCCCCGCTTTCCTGGAAACTACTGACTGTGGCTACAGAAGAGCAGGATGGTGCAAAGACCGCTTGGAAGTGGTGTAGACACCGGAGAGGTCATGTTTGACAATTATTTTTGCCCTGCCAGTCTCTAGGCTCATGGATTATTTACAGGGTGCTTTACAGTTGCTGGATGGGATCACAGCTCTCTCTCTCCAGGTTTCATGGTTGGTTAGATAACTCTAGTTACAGCCTCAGTCACTTAGGTCACAGTAATTCTGTATGCACAATAGCGTTGGTCAGTGCGAAGCTGGGGAGACTGTGAGATTGCTCTGCCTAAAATCTGTTTCACTGCACCCAGTGTCCTCAAGAACCCTCCCTTCCTTCCTATGGCTTCAGATTTGTTCCTTTCTTCTGGAGGGTGGCCCCTGGCACACCAGCATGCAGTAATATCTCCACCTTGGAAGGAAGGAAGGAGACAAGGAAGAGGGGAGAGGAAGGCGTCTTGGGGTCCCAGACCCCCCACACTCGAGCTCTTCTCCATTCCTTTGTTTTCTTCTTCCATGTTGGGTAGCCAGTGGCCTGTCTTCCAATTCCCTCTTGGACTGTCTCAGTCTGAGCTGCATTTTGAACAGCTAGCAAAAATTCTCCCTCCATATTGTTAAGTAGGGACGGGTCTTCATGTAATCTAACCTGTCAGCCACGTTGATAGAGTAGATCACCCCCTCTTTCCTGAAATGCCTTCACAGCGCATTCTCCTGATTTCCCTCCAACCTTGCTGCCCACTCTTTCTTAGCCAACTGCTTTGTCCCTCTCTCCCCTTCCCAACATCTAAGTAATCCAAAGCCCAAGGCCCAGCCCGCCAATACCCCTGCATGGCTAAACGCCATCTCTAAACCCATGATTCCCAGATGTACACCTGCAGCCCTGATTTCTTTGCTAAGCTACCATTGCCTGATTAGCATCCCACCAATTCCAATCACCACTCAAGGCAGACCTGCCAGGCTTCCTCACCAGTACATGGTCCAAACCAGGTCTTAGAACTTTGATGTCATCTTGACCTCTCTGTCTCTCTCACAATCTGTCATCCAGCTCTCTCCTCTCTTCTTGCAATATCTATCCCATTTCCAGTCACTGCTGGACTCCACGGTCACCACTCACTCCAAGCCATCATCATTTCTCCTCAGAGACATGACTCAACAGCCCTGTCCAGAATCCTTGCCTCCATTCTTGTCCCCTGCAGTTCCCTTCACCACCCAATGTGACCAACTTAAGAAATCAGTCAGAATTTGCCACTCTTCTGCTTAGAAGGCAAGTGGCAAAATCTTCCAATTACACTTAAACTTGAAAGTCTCACCATGGCCCACAAGTACCCTGTGGATGGTATCGACATCGTACCCTCTATTTCTCTACCTAGGCCCTCTCCCTTTTCCTCCCATACAACAAGCCCTCTTTTGCCTTGGGGCTGTTGCACCTGCTACCCCCGTCTTCCTTAGATGCTCTTTCCTGGTCATTATATGGCTGGCTTCTCCTAGGCATTCAGATCTGAAATCAAGCACTGGCCCCCAGAAATGCCTTCCAAATCACCCCTTATTGTCCCCAACCCCTCAGTCTCTGTCACATCTCCCTGTTGTAGTTTCTTGTTCTCATCATTATCTAGTCCCAATAGTTACTTGTCTCATCCCTGACTTCCCACCAGACCCTCAGTTCCCATAGTTTGCTTCTTTCTCCCTGAGTTGAGAGCAGGGCGCACAACTTAGATTTGAATAATGACTATTTCACCTGATGGGCCATGGAATGTCCAGGTAGGAGGCTGGAAATTCATTTGGGAAAGGTGATCAGAGACAGATGGACGTGAAGGAACTGTGAAGTGTGAGTTCAGATGGTTGAGAGGGAAAGCGCCTCATGGAACTCTGCTGTGGGGTGAGTGTTGGTCTGCAGTACCTGGCGGTGAACCCCTGGACCTGGATGGCCCCCAGAGGTCACCCACTCAGCATGGGCCAGGATTCAAGGTGCTGTCACACAGGTTTCTGTCCCAGTACAACTCTCTCTTGTCCTTCTTTCTGACCCTCTCCCTCCCATTCCCCAGCATTAGCAGCTCAGTGACTTTCTCCCCATGTTGGACAGTGGATGACCAGATCTTCTCACTGGATCTTCTGCTCCTAAAACCAGAGTAATCAGGTGTGAGTGCAGAACCTTGAGAAAGACGGCCATCTGATAAGCTCATCAATTCCAAGTCATGACCTTGACCGTCTTTTCTCTCCCACAAATGCAAAAAGCCTGGTTTGAAAGCAGCTGGCCCTAAGGAATTCCTGGGAAGCCAGTGCTGGGGAGCTCCCTTCTGCTGCTCGACCACTGGCTGCTGGTAAGTCGTGGTAAGCCCTAGTGAATCAGGGTGAGTCTTCACCATTAGCAGACACCATTGAGCAGGTGAGAGGCAAAAGTCCATCGCTGACATGGCTCCTCTTTTCTTCCCTCTTCCTCTCACCAGTGACCTCAGACTAAACATATCAAGAAGGAAGGCTAGATTGAGAAAAGGGGGATTGATTGATTGATTGATTGATTGGTACTGGGTATTGAACTCAGGGGAGCTCAGCTACTAAGCCACATCCCCAGCCCTATTTTGTATTTTATTTAGAGACAGGGTCTCACTGAGTTGCTTAGTGCCTTGCTTTTACTGAGGCTGGCTTTCAACTTGCAATCCTCCTGCCTCAGCCTCCCAAGCTGTTGGTATTATAGACATTAAGTGCCACTGCACTGGGCCAAGAAAAAGAGGATATTATTTACTGCAGTTCCTCTGAATGTGTCCCACCCTCTTCATTTCTCAATCCAATAGACCCAAGTCAACTCACAAAATTTCCACACGAAAAGAAGTGCATAATGTCAAATAAAAATAACTAACTTACCCATCACATCCCTCCACTTGTGCTCTTGTGCATTAAATGTGTACATACTGGTTTGCACTCAGAAGATGTCCAATACGTGAACAACTGGATGAATAAAAAAACAAACTGGTCAAGAAACTTGGCAGGAGCTCTTTTTCAGGGTGGAGTAATCACCCAAATCATAGTGTCACACAGTGTCACAGGTGTACTTCTTCATAGACAACACACTGAACCAATTAAAAGTCAACATTGATTGATTGGTGTCTTGATAGGACAGTTAATTCATTCCAACAACATTTTATTGTAGCCTACTGTTCAATAACCTGATTACTCACATTTTAAGTGCTAGAACCAGATGCTTTTAAAGACAGAAAATGAGAGGCAAGAAGATGCAGCTCCTGCTGAGGTCCAAGAGTCGTGTAACTCCAGGGCCAGCCCTGAAGCAGACAGGACCAAGCGAAGCCACTACACATGAGCTTGAATTGGGGATGCCAACCTTCACTGCCAGAGTCCAGCTCATGCTACTTCAGAATGGCAGTAATTGCCAACACCCTGCTTTTGATGTTACTCAGGGACAAATTCTTATCAATAACTTAAGTCAGAAATTTCAGGACAAACAAAAGTTTGCTTTATGCCCCTGCAGGAAAACTCAGAACTCATCACATCTGGGGAAGCACAATGAGAAGGTATTTCTAGGTTAAGTACAGGCTTGGATTTACTCACAGATCGAAGGGTAAATCCCTAAACATGAAAAGCTAATGTTTCAGAGGACTATCACGTTCCTACTGAACCACTCTGAGTGTCATAATACCCTAAGTTTGGGTATAATAATAATCTTCATGAATTATATTTTATTCAAAAAAAATCATATTTAATCAGGATCAAAAAATCCCCTTTGGTGGAGCTGAGTGAATTCAAAATGGCTAAACAACCCTTTCCTGCCTTATTCCAAAAGCACTGATTATGTTCCTCTTTTATATGAGGCAATCTGCTTGGCTTTGAACAGGTTTCTGGGGTGCACACAGGGCATCATCCCACGAGATCCTCCCCACACTTTCAGGGGCTGCTGTTATTATTATTTCTACTTCACAGTCAGATAAGCAGAGACTTGGGCAAGTGCAGTAAGTAAGAAAGGGAGCTCTTTCTCAACCCACCCTTTTCCCATGGAACTGGGTATCTTGCTTAAAACTATGTAACTACTAAGTATCAAAATAAAATCTTCACCAGATTTTAAGTCTCACTAACAGATTTTCTATGATCCTTAGTCTCACTAACATAGATTTTCTATGATGCTTTCGACCAAAGTCTGAGTGGGTGATTCCACAAAAAAACCACAGCATGGCTCTGAGTTGTCCCCTCTAAGTGAGGCGTGTTATTTTGGGCAGTTGCATGTGATGAAAGAGATAATAGGCCTCTTTGGGCAGTAATAAAAACAAAATCACTAGTTTGACAGTAAGTAAAATAGAAATTGAAACCTTAACAAAATAGGATTTTCTGATTTCACACAGGAGCCATCAAGAAACTTTAGGTTTCAAGTCTTGGTGTTACTTTCCTTGTCATTTAAAATAACAGCATATGCCAATTTATGAAGTCCTTTGGGTTCATTTTAAAATGTAAATAAGCAATTCAAGTTCTACTTGAAAACTTAGGCTTTCACACACAGGAGCAAACAGGGAAATATGGGCAGGGGTGCTCTGGCTAGGTAAGTCCTCGGGCACAAGACAGCAGGGTGGAGGCTAAGGGAGCCCAGCCAGCGTTGGCCTCAGGAGCTCAAAGGCCAGCCAGGCCTTCACAGGGAGTCAACAGGAAAGTCTGATGCTGGGACAGAGCAGCCCTGAAGAGTGAGATGCTGTTCTGTTTATTTTGTTGTTCTTGAGGGCAAAGATCAACCAACAGAAAGCAAAAGTGAAGACCTCAGGGGGAAGAGGCTGCACCCAATAGCTCTGTCCCCAAAGCCTATTTGTGGCAGACCAGTGGAAGTAAAAGAGATGGGAGGCAGAGAGAAAGAACACTGGACATCCCTGAGCAGAAGAGCAGCAAGAAGGTAAAGGGTCTGAGGTTTTATCCTGTTTTCAAGCTAAGAAGGTAGCTGTCACCATTTTATGGTGCAGGCAGAAGACAGGAGGCTGCTGGGTCACAGACAGAAGACTTTCTGCTCAAAGCACAGTGAGTGGCATGCACATCAGCATATTTATACAAATCCCCCCTTGGTCCCAAGTGTCCTGGGCAACATGGACAGACCCCCAGAGATGTCTGCACTTGCAAAGTTGCTCTGTGGGGAAGAAACCTTAGCTCAGAGGACATGGCCCCTTAAAAGCAGAGAGACACCGGCTCTGACTCAGGCCTACTCACCTTGCAGACATCTTGACAAGAGAGTCTGGAACCGAGTGTGATCCACGTCTCTTACAGGATATGCAGAGATGCCAGAGAACTGTCTACCAACAAGAGCCACTTCCTGGTGGTTCTAGGTCCAGTTCCTCAGCCACGCTCACTTGAAAGGACAACTATCACCCAATCATAATGCACTTTCTGAAAAGCTAGATGAGGAAGGAGGAATCTCTTTGGTTGGAATCTCTAAAAGCAGACTTTTAAATGAATGTTCATGTATGAATGATTTAAAAAAAAAAAAAGAAAAGAAAAGAAATTATCCCAGGACCATTCATTGACACAGGGAAGGGGAGAGCTGGGATGGAACTTGTGGTGTGGCTCTGCAATGGCTTCAGCCTGGTCCTGAAGGGAATCCCTGGAGGGTGTTTGGAGCCTCAGAGCATCTCCAACCAGAGGAGAGGAGCCTGGATAAGGTGAACTCCCAGCGTCGGTCACTCTCTGTGCTTTAGGAAAACAGCTCTGGTACCCTGGGAGTGGACCCTGAGGACCAGGTACAGGTCAGGGCGTGGGAGGAAACAACATTCCAAAGCTAAGGCAGAGACATGTGGAAATGGTTACCGACTGAGGTGGCCCAGGTGGGGCAGAGAATTACTTAGATCCACTCACAGTTCACACGTATTCTCCCCTCACTGTTGTAGCTTCCTCCCAATGATGAGTGGTCTACATTGCTAGGGAAAACCTGCAAGAGTGGGATCAGTGGGACGAGGAAGAGCTACCCCTGCAGCTGACCTGGAGTTCACAGTGGGTCCTCAGTATCCTATTCCTCTAGATTCCCTGTGTCATTAGCTAGCCTGCTGCTGGCCCAGGCTGCTAGCCCGGTAGATGGACCACACTTCATCCCTAAAGGATCTGAGCCCAGTTACCGCGCTCCTATCGGCTGTGGTTACTGTAATTACTCATCCACAGTTTAAAAAACAGCCATGGGAGCACCAAGGCAAAGCCCAGTGCCTGCCTTAGAGCCACTCCTGAGGTAGCATCCCTGACTCTTCCTGGTAATCGGGGACGATTACCCTTGCCAGGGGATAGTGACTGGCCCACTATCACAGGAAGCCCTAGTGACAAGGTGGCAGCCAACCTTCACTGTGAACAGGACTCTTACTGTATCCTCTGGAGGAGCCTCCTCCTCTGCCATCCAGGACCCCTAGACCCACAGCTCTTGGTGTCATGTGGTCACAGCACACTTTCCTACTTGCTTTACTCCTTGTGAGTCCCTCAAGCTGCACAGGAACTCAGACATGATGTCTTCTGTGCTGGAAGACATCGTGACTTCCAAAAGTTCAAGGGCATACTTTCAAAGAAGAGTCACAGGTTCAGGTGACCAGATGTAAAAGCACACTAAAGTAGGAGAGAGGTACAGAGAGACAACCTGTTGCCTTGAGGCCGTGGCACCTGCTATTCTTTCTTTCTTAGGTGCTCTGGAGTCAGAGCCCACCCCAGTGCTGCAAATCAGACAAGAAGTCTCCATGCCAGCCACTGTTCCCAGAAGTTTGTGGCTTTCTATCTTTCGCTTCAACAAGGTACACCTACTATGTGCCAGGCACCATGCTGGGTGCTAATGGAACAGAGATAAATAATCCCGAATCTGTCCACCCAGGACCTACAGTCCAGTGGAGGAGACAGGCACGTGAACTCAAGTGGATAAGGAAGAACTCAAGAAAGAAGCGAGGAGCGGCTGAGAGCTACAGGACTCACGCAGGAGGAGGCTCCTTAAACAGGTCTGAAAGACATGCATCTCCATCCAGAATAGTAGCTCCAGGAGTGGCGAGAGGGGCAGAAATGATGAGCGTCCCCCAAACCCAAAGTGCATACACGGTGCCTCCTGGAAGCACGGGCAGACACGTGTGCTGCATGGGGTCCATGCCGCGCATGCTCAGACCTCCCTGTGCTCCTCCTCAGTCATGCCAAGTGGGGAGGAAACAGCATGAGGTAAGGTCCAGGGTGTTTTGGAGCCCAGTGGTGGGCGATAAGTTGTTCAATGAAATGTGTGAAGAGGTCAAAAACAGCTGTTGCCTTTCATCCTCTTTAAAATGGTAAATAAAAGTACCGTCATGAGACTCTGTCCCTTGGCTGTTCCTCTTCTAGGTTCTCTCTGGTTGCATAGTTTTTCCGGTTGCTGAGTGGATAATGGACTCAAAAGATAGGATGAGTTGGCATGACAGATGCAGGCTCGAGGGCAAGACCGCCCACGTCCCCAGGTCTAGGGCCACTAGATACCCTCCTACTTCATCCAGAGACTGTGCAAGTAGGACCAGATGTTGTCACTTTACTTTTTGCCATTTGCAACAAAATTAGGCATCAGATACACTAATGCTATGCCCCAGCCACAGATTTAGAAATGAATGAGTGAGAGCTGACCAAGCAGACACCCCTTATTGCCCACAAATTAACCTCTGAATGTACTCAAGTTGGCTCCCAAGGGAGGGGCTAGGAAGGCAGCCGAATTAAGGAATGATCTTGACTTCAGCAGTTGCCCTGTACTTGATACAACATAAATCACCTATAAAGTGTTTTTCCACGGGGAGATTGCATTTTACATATACAAAACTCATAATTTGTGTTTATTGAAAAGATTTGGACATTGGTATGTTATTTATGTTTTTAATTTGTCTACTCCAGTAAATAACATCCCCCTTAGTAAGTGGCTCCTGGGCAGAGCACTTACTTCTGAAGGAGTATCCTCTCCTGTGCTCCTGCCCCGTGCTTGGCGCTGCTGATCC